CATTTACCTCCCTGCTCTGCACCGGGTCCGGGACGGCTTCAGCAACTGCCGAGTCCCCTGGGCCAGAAGTAGGACCTTTCACACACCCTGAGCCATTCTCCTGGCCTTGGAGAGGGAACAAATTAACAAATGGGAAAAAATAATCTGCTGGCTCCATTAAGCCAGGAACTCATGGTAGGCACAACTCCTTTTCCTAGGCATAGGCATAAGGGGCCCATGGATTTTAAGTGCCTTTCCCCCTGCAGAGACTTGTGTGGGCCCATTTCAACAGCATAAGCCTGCATTACCACAGTACAACAGAGTACATACCTGAAGTCGACAACTGTTTCAGCTGTGAAGTGGCAGGTTCGTGACATCTGACACTGCTCTGCCCATTAAGCAGGGTCTCCACCTACCCACATCAGGGGCCTAAGGCCACCTAGCCACCTACAACAGGGGCCCAAGAATAAGTGAAGCACCCTAGTCCTTACAGCCAACAGCAATGGGTGCTCACAGTCCAGCTGCAAAACCCACCCACCTACATGCTCTAGGGAACAGGGACATGCTTTCCTCCTGGACACTCGGGGGTGGCTGTTGGCCCCTTGCCTTGCTCAGCGTGTAACCCCTTGCTGCAGCTGGATGCCTGTGCCTACACCAATCACCCATGCCTGTCTAGGACTGCAGGTGAGAGCCTGCACCACACACTTGGTGGTTGACTACCTTGACACCTGAGCTGAATTCATACAGGAGGAGTGGGCAGACTCCTGGGCTCACATACTTAGTGGCAGGTCTGGCCACCTGGTGGCAGGATGCTGGAGCTTCAGGGGCACTGGTGATCAGACTAGCTCACATGAGCAGCCTACTTCGGCATATCAAAACAAAACAAGAAGCTAGGACACAGTAAGCAAACATAAAATAAATAAATATAATGACTTATTGATGGCTCGGAGACAACAGTCAATATCAAATCACATAAAGAGGCAGACCATGATGGTTTCAGTAAGCTCCCAAAATGAAGAATCAACAAATTTTCCAGAGGAAGAGAATTTCTTAGAATTACCAGAGGCAGAATACAAAAGATTAATACACAGAACTCTTCAAGAGATCAGGAAGGAGATTCGGCAAAATGCAGACCAGCAACAGAGGAACTTAAGAACACTAGTGAAAAGCACAATGACAAATTTAACAGGCTGCAAGAATCCATAGAGAGACAGCAATCAGATATCCAGAAGATTAACAATAAACTTTCAGAATTAGACAATTTAATAGAAAGTCACAGGAGCAGAACTGAGGCAATGGAAGTCAGAATTAGTGAGACTGAAGATAAAGCACTTGACACCAACTTAGCTAAGGAAAAATAAGATAAAGGGATTTAAAAAGTGAAGAAACCCTAAGAATTATCTGGGGCTCTATCAAGAGGAATAGCCTATGAGTGACTGGAGTACCAGAACAGGGGAGAATAACAAACTACAGAGAGAATTGTTGAATTAGCAGAAAACTTCCCTGATATCATGAAAGATGACAAAATATCTATCCAAGATGTTCGTCGAACCCCACATAAGGTAGATCCCAAAAGTCACCAAGGCATATTATAATCAAACTTGCCAAAACCAAAGATAGAATTTTAAGAGAGGCTAAAGATAAATGAAAAGTCATCTACAAAGGAGAGTCAATAAGAATAAGCTAAGATTACTCAGCAGAAACCATGCAGGCAAGAAGGCAATGGGATGAAATATATAAAGCCTTGAAGGAAAAACATTGTCAGCCAAGAATTATATATCCAGTAAAACTGTCTTTCAAATATGATGGTGAAATTAGGGCATTTCCAGATAAACAGAAGTTTA